ACTGAGCTGTTTTGATCTTCATATTCATACAAATATGCGCCTTGTTTTTCGGGCTGGAAAAAAATGTCCACACTTTCAGAAGTAGAATTTCGAGAATAACTCAATAGCATATCGAACCACTCTGCTGAATCCCATCTCGATTATCCCACAGATACAAGCGTTTCGTCACAGAAAAATGGAAATCTCCCGGAAAATCTCCTCCTCCTTTTTTTTTATTTCGGGAATGCCTGATCCGAATTGAATGTTATTCGTACATGAGACAAATAAAAAATAAAAAAAATAGGAACGAACTTGTACCACTAAAGCCGTAGATATTCCCAGGCGTCTCGACACGAAGGATTTATTCCCACACATTCTTAGTCTCTCACGAAGAAGATTTCGCGCACATGATGATCACACTTGCAGTTATCATGTAATTACTTACGGAATATTGAAGAGAGGATCTTCTTCGTGGATCATTGAATGATTTCCAACCAGGGAAACTTAAACCTATTTGGTCGAGATCTACACATGCTTTTCGGTGTAACGATGCAAGCGCTCAAGTATTTAAACAGCATTTAGAATAAGCGAAGCATAATTTGAATTACATAACAACACCAATAATTCCCCCGGTTTCTTCGACGCATTTTGTTTTTCTCAATTCAGGGAATTGATAATGCACAGTTGGTTCCTAATTCTCGTCAGTAACTCGAAATACTTCTAAAAGAAATTTTTTCATTCAGGAAAAAAAGAGCTTGTCAAGCCAACCTTCGTTCAGGCCGTTAAATTGATTTAAAGTTTTAGACTTATGAATCCAAGAATTTCAAAATGAATAAAAATTGTCGGAAAATTTTTCAGGTGATCAAGTCTGAATCCTGATAACCATTCGGGAATATACTGTACACAACAAAGACTAAAGTTTTTTTCTTCAATTGTTGAAGCATTCCCTTTCAATTATAACCCTAACTTAAAACAACACGTGGACATTTTAGGGCGATCCTCACATTCATCATTTACAACACAGAAACTGCAAAAAAAGTGTGAATTAATCAAGAGTTTATGCAAATATGTAACATCCTTGATGTAATTCTTAGTATGTGCCATTGCTCACGAAACCTTTTGATAAACTGCTAATTAATGAAAGATGAAAATGTGAAGGGTATAAACCTGTCCTCCGTACAAGAGACGCAGTTCCACTAAAATCATTAGTCTTCTCTTCACTTCTATGTGAATGTGCTAAAATCTGACCAGTGCTCGAAATATGATTTTAAACCTGTGCATTTTTTTTACATTCACGCAGTACTCAGAAGCGAATTTGCGTTCATGCCTAATCATCTCTAATCACGGGGAGCAGACCGTTGACCACCAATCCAAAAAATAAAATAAAACAGCTCTAGCATCTGGTCATGTTCCACCTTCCGAAACCCTATCGGGTTCAACAAGGATCAATAGAAAGAAGGGGAGAAAAAAAAAACAAGCTCAGACAACCCCAGGACCCCTCTTCGAATATTTCGCGAAAACAATTCCGGGAATTTGAGACGGGAGGGAAAAAAAGGAATGCAAGAAAATGAAAGCATCTCAAGGATAAAACGTACCCTCGCTGTTGATGATGAAGGGGGCATCGTCGTTGAGGATCTCGTACTTGCAGACGTCACCAAACTTTGGAGAACAGTCGCTGTCGGCAGCAGTCACTGTCAGGAGCTCTGGGTACAGTCTTCCTTCTTCCGCCTCCACCTTGTAGGAGGCCTGCGTGAATTCCGGGGCGTGTTCGTTCACGTCCTGCACCTTGATCCTCGCCGTCACGCTGTCGAAATAAAATATGAATAAATTTCAATTCGTGATACAAGTGATCGTCGATATCACTCGAACCTCTCTAAGTTGAATAGCCCCCCTTCTTGTTAATTTTTTTCAAGTCTCCGTCTGAATTCACTCGAAAATATTGCATTAAAAACCTCTCCAACTCGAAGGTTTCTCCCCCCCTCCCTAACCAGCAATTTTCTGGACCATTTTGGCTATTAAAAACAGCCAAAAGGGTAATATGAGGCCCAGGATATCACCAATTACAATTTCATATGCAGTAATTCTTTTCTTTTTTTACTCCACAAAAATGGTTGTCTCCTGACTTGAAACCTCCATAACTCGAATTTTTCGCTGGTCACTTCAAATAAGACTTGAAGAGGTTCGACTGCACAGTCAAACCCTTTGGGTATTGACCCGGAAAAATCTCGAGGAAATAAAAAATTGGGAGAAAACGTTGAGAAAAAGGGTTTCAAAATTATAAAAATGGGGGAAAATCCACATGATTGACATTCCGTTTTCTGCTTTTCGAGCGTTTGGTTCGAGTCCGAAGTCAATCTTGGAGTGCATTCGTTTGTCAAAATCAAGTTCTTTGGGATTGTTCCCTAGTCTTGTCAACTACTTCTCAAAATACAAATATCTTCGTTAAATTGCAGCCCCTAAAAAAACGGAGACAGGCTGGGAAACTGGCTGACTGCTGTGTTATCTTTCTGACAAAATTCTCAAGCTCGAAAATTTTTTTCTTATATCTCTCTGGAACAGTTTGATTCTCGAACAGAAAAAGAAATCGACCTACACTTTCCTTTGTGCCGAAATTCATCTTCTTCGGAAGAAAAGAGGAACTTTCTGGGACAGGTATAATGCCGGTACCAAAATCTCACAGGGTCTGATTATACTTCGCAACGCGGATGGTTCGATGGATGGATTTCTCCCAAGCTCTGTCTTCTCATCCATCGATCCATCGAGAGAACGTGTACCAGACATTCCATGACTGTTTTGCTGCCGTATAAGTATTTTTTTCATCAATATATAAAACATACCAGCCACCGAAAGTACTTCGTTGCTCCTCAGTTTCTATTAAAGTATGGCAAAAAAAAACAAGTCGGTTTGTTCAAGTTCATTTGAGTCGAGTCGCTCGCACTTATTTGTAGAGAATTTTTAATTCAAGACTTCATCAGCTGAAATGCTTTTGGCGGATAATGCGTGGACTAAAAACCAAAAATATGGAACATCGTCAATTTGATTGGAAAAAATGGGGGAAAATTGGAAATTCTCATGCAGCCATGATTTAAAATCACTGCATGTTCACATGATCAGGACGTGAGCCACCAATAAAAGCGTGGTTTTGAGCTAATATTCCATAAGTGTCAAAATTACTGCACTCGGAGTAAAAGCCGCATATACTCAAGGTTATGGGCCTACCCAGAGTTCTTCCTATAGGCTCCTTATTCTAAATACGATAATTCCTGCCCTTTTTTTCAAATATTTCTCACAATAAGGCTTGGAAATTCTGCTGGAGAGAGAGAGGAAAAGACTCGTGACCCGGCCAATCAACATGTAACGCCCAGCGAAGAAAAGAGACTTTGGTGAATGAGACGACACCGACAACGACGGTGACGTCGGATGCCGAGAGGAATCAATAGGATCCCCCGAGTCATCCTCACGCCTTATCCCATTTCTCTGCTCGTCCTTCTTCGGAGATCCTTTTTTCATGTCCCCCACGAGCACATCCTCACTCACTTCGCCGACTCCTTCATTACGAGCTGAGCAGGGAACGGAAAAGTAGTGAAATACTAAAGTTTCCGCGCTTTGGCTGACATTTTATTCAGACAATAAATGAAAATAAAAATATTTACTCAGCATAGGGACGATTTAGAATTTTTACGTCTCATTAAAAAATAAATTACCCGTAATTTCTGGTTTCATCTCACATATTACGGTATACTTTAATGCAGTGTTCCGTCATTTCTTTAATTGTTGAAAAATAGTGATCCACCATTTAAAAAAAATATCAGATGCTATGTGATGTAAAGAACCCTCTGTGAATCCTATGACGCCCTCAGGGTGAATGAGAATTCGAAACTGTTGTTCAGTAGTTCAAAATCGATTCCTTCTTCTGGAGGCGATTCAATCGAATTAATTTAAAGGATAGCTTAAGCAGATGAGATTTTCATTCGTTACAGAAATACTGCAACAATATTACTTCGTATTTCCATCCCGAAATGGCGAAAAAAACGTAGGGCCTTGAATACTGTCTAAAAGCGTTTTTGTTCTGGATTCCTTCTTTATCTCGTTACTTCGCGAAAATAACGTGGAAAACATACTTTCGAGAACATTCGACGACTAACTTAACTTCGGTACATTTTTTTGCAATATTTGAAGTGAGGATCCCATCACTAAATTATTATTATCAGATCGCACTGCATTGAAGTTTCCGTGTTCGTTCCAGTGAAAAAGATTAAATTGTTTGTGTGTTCAGGATAGACATTTTCCTTGAAAATCGTTTTTATTGAGTTGAATTGAAATTCTACAGGAAATGAGATCTGTATCATTCCGAAAAAGACTGTTCTTTTAATGATTTTCTTCTGTAAATGAGAGACCAGAACGCCGAGTTGATAGTATTTCACAAAAAATGAATTTCAGATGCTTTTCTTTTTATGACTAAAACATTTATTCAAATAAAGCATTAATATCTGAAAAATGCATCCTCCAACATTTCAAAAAGAAATAAATGGTTTCATCAATTTTCTCTCGAATACACTACGTCATCAGACTGGAACGCAGAACCTTTAGAATTGAAATAAGAGGAACTAATTCTTCAACATTTCGAAAATAAATCAAAGGTTCCATCAATTTCCTTCCGAAACATGTCCAACACGAACGCCGAAATTCTGGTAATGCCCATGAAAATTTTCTTCGAGTTGAAATCTTCTTGAAACAATTTTTTTAAACTGTGTTTTTACTTTACATACTGCATTTCATTCATCATCTTCTACCAACACACATAAAACATATTTTGTCTTGCACTAAAATATCAAGCCAACTAGTGTGGAAACTTTAGTACCCTCCCCTCGTATGGTTCCGGTTTGATCGCGCTGCTGACGTCTTGCCAGATAAGCGGCGGTGACTCCCAATCACGGCTAACCCGATTCGCAATTCCTGCTGCGGAGAAATCAGCGCGGATTTTCGTGACACATGGCAAGATTGAGGTCCACGAAAAATCTCTGTTTCAGTGCTGAAATCCGGTTCGGGACTCGTGCAGCTAGGGTTTTGACGAGCGCTGTTCCACCAACATGAATATACAGTACTCACTTTTATTTGTTTCTTCACATTTTCACTCTCCGTGGAAATGAAAGCGGGGCAGTCAGGAATTGATTATCAAATTTTTCCAGTGCAAAAAATACAGAGCATGTTCCATATTTTTTTCATTTTCGCGCACCGTTATTTATGCAAGGCATGGCAGAAAAAAGTGCTGTAAAAAATGGCTCCGATAGCAACCCTGACCTCTTCAATTTGCGTAATTTCTGAGTTCGTAATCGATCACGATTCCCTCGAGGGCCTCTGAACAGCCATAAAATCTAAAAATTGAGCCAAAGCATCTCCATCGATGACTTCAAGTAGAAATAATTGAAGTAGAGTACATGAATCATGAAAAAGTTCGCAAGTGAAAGGTTCTTTAAAAGGGGCGCTTTTACGTTTGAAAAAGAAGAAAAAAGCGTTGAAAACTTATATCCTTGTACAGTACTGTATTCGTATTTGAAAAAAACGAAACCTCTTGAATTTTCGGAATAATGCGTCAAAAATGTCGAACAGTTGATGGAAAATCATTTTTTCGACCTTGTGCAGAACTCGAACGAACACTTCATCAGTCAATAAACGTCTGTTGAATAAATTACTCTAGCTAGTAGGAACCGAAACCACACCCTAATGTCTAATTTTACACCCACACACCTTTTGTCTCTCTTTTGTAAAAAAATATATATATTTTCCTACATGAATGTTCTCGTCGAAGGAAAATGCATGAAAACGTACTTAGGAACCGAAACCACACCCTAATGTCTAATTTTACACCCACACACCTTTTGTCCCTCTTTTGTAAAAAAATATATATATTTTCCTACATGAATGTTCTCGTCGAAGGAAAATGCATGAAAACGTACAACTCAGAAGAACTCTACACAGACATTCGTGAAGAGTCCTCATAAAACTCTCGAGTTTGAAATATTGTAGATGCTCTCAAGGGGACACGAAAGCATTTGCTATGGGCAGAAGAAGTTCTCGTCAGCAGACGCTTCATGTAATCCTCTATAAAATTGGATCCTCAATAAATTGTATCGTTAAAGTTCTAACTACGCAACAACGATTTCTTCATGTTTCCGAAATATGCAAAGCCGGATTACTCAATTTCCCAAGCATTTCATGGCGTAATCGCATTCTTTTCCACTGATTCTTTCATCGGTTCGTTGTGAAGATTTAACTTGCTAATTTTTTTGGTCGAAGTCTAAATCAAACATCTCTACACGAAGAGCATAAAAATAGGTTGAAAAGGTCTTTTACTTCACTTTTCGGAATACTGCATGAATGGAGGGCGTGATTCTTTGAGTGATATTTGTCATCAACTGGTGAGTGATCAAATGTTCGTTGATCCAGGATGAAAATGGAACAAGAGACCTGAAATTAAAACCCACTTTTGTGAGCATATAAGGCCTAACTTGAACAAATCTATCTTTAATCAAATTGCTCGAGGCAAAACTGTTTTAAATAATCGAAGATTTCGATCACTTTCAAGATACTCGCTGTGACAAAACAGTCTCTCTAAAATATTTGCACCATATGAGTATTTCGAGGCATTTTAGTGCTGTATTTTTTATTTTTTAATGCAATCATCGCTTCGAAATATCGATCGACGAGCGGGAAATTGCCTTTATCAGGTCTGCAATGGAAGAAAATTCTCAATGAATGAACATACGCTCACTAAGTCTATTATAGATTCCACAGCAAGGATTCGCGGAATTCTGACTCAGAGACATGAGTACTACGCATAATTGGGTAGAATAAACTGATTTATGGCTGTTTTGCAAGTTTTGGTCGCGAGTGAGCATACTTCGGTAAAGAAAAAGAAAAGTGAACTTATGTTAAATTATTTTTCCCGGAATTTAAGTTGGTTTTTATCTTTTTTTGAAAGAAAGTCAGGCAGTCGCCAAGACGGAAGTGTCAGGGAACCCTGGATACGACCCAAGGTAAACAGGAATAAAACCGGGGAATCGTTTGGAGTCAAGATTTTTTTCATGTTTTTTTTTCTTTTTTTATTTCGATTTTTTTTTTTTACTCCGCTTAACGTGGGTAGATTCGCGACCCGTCGACAGTTCGCTACTCCTCGAGAATGTGTCACCGACTTCAGGTGCAATACGGTGCTAAGAGAAATACATAAAACCGGAAACCCACCCACGAAAATGAGCATTCCAGAAGTTTCTGTAATTGCGTTTTAAGATACTGACACGGCTGGGGAATGGTCGGAACGCATACAATTCGACCACTGAAATAAGCATACCTGCTGAGAACGGCGTTCCGAGGGTCCGAAAATTTAAAATTAACTAACAAATTACCTTATATTACACGTGATGCATATAAATGAGATCGCTTTTTCTTGGACAACATTACTACGATTAGCGTCGATCTCGTTGTCGAGTCACGTGTATTGTGTCATCAACATAAAAATGATCAGCTTTCACAGCAACAATAACTTTTTGAAGAAACCTCCTACTAAAATTAACAATTTTGCGATTTCCTGGAAATGTTTTTCTTTATTTTTACTCCAGGAAATTCGTGCGCTATTTTTTCAACGGCTGCAATTTGTCAAGGATCCGCTCGCAGAACTGGCATCACGTTCTCCCATCTCTTATTTCTTTCAAAAATATCCTTCCCGAAAGAACATACTTTTTCCGGCAATACATACTGTGATTTCAGAAAAAAAAAGTTTTCGAAGATTGCAATTCGGACACAGTCTATCGAAGTACTGTACACTAATTTAAAAAAAACTGACTGACGATGCCAACACATTTTTAAATATTTTTCACGCAGGTATGCTGTATAATATTTTTGCGCAAGTTTGATTCAGCTATACGACTTCATAGAATATCGATAAAGCGCTACATTTTTGTTCATTTGAGCGTAGATCATTTCGCTTCCTGAATCTTGAAGCAGGTGTCACCCGAGTCGCAGTCCAGACCGACAGGAAGATACGCCTATTTATTCGACCAAAGCAAAATAGAACCTGATGCAGTGCTGTCCAATATCCGGCCCACGGGCCGGATCCGGCCCGCAGAGAGGCTTCATCCGTTCCGCGGCCCTTTGCTCACAATTTCAAAGATGACAGCAGCCACTATTCAGAATTTATTGGAAAATGTATTCGGAAATTGCAAAAGCTTGCAAAGATGTCTGCAAGGTTATGCATCGTATTTGTGATTCAGTGCATAGAACCGAATTGAATTTGAACCTTTGCATTTAAACGGGAAAAGTTGAGTCTCTTGAAGATAAATTTGCCATGGACAAGTTTCCCACAAGCCGATGATGCTTTGAATGCATAAAATATCTGCCATGTGAGAAATAAATCATTGTAATCGTGGGTATTCGGCACGCAAGCACCAGCTCCATCTCTGCAATTTTGCCCCTCGGCCACATCTAATTTTGGCAGCCCTTGTCCTAACCCAACCTTACCATAATACCCAGCTAAAATTGAAAAAATAAATGCAGACGACACCTATTCAAAAATATGAAGAAGTGGAGTTGAAGGCATCCCGCGTTCAAGCGAAAATAACCCAGAATCGCAGGGTGCACATCTCTCAAGTTATTGGTTTATCGGGTTTATCGTTCTCAGTGCAGCAGACGCTTTACGGTTGTTCATTCAGCTTCGGAAAATTAGATATTGTACTCGAAGGAGATCCCAAGTTCTTTGGAAGAAATAAAGAAGAAAAACTACGAAGCGCACTGGCAGGCGAATTCAATTTGACACTGGAGGAAGTGTAGCAACCCGCTCGTCCCATGCAACCCCTTCCGAAAATAAAAAAAATGAAGATCTCACTCTCATATTATTATTTTTGTTTATATCTTTCGTCTCCACTCCAAGCATCCAACTTTCCAAAACGTGACGCATAACCAGGGCACGGATTCAATTTGAGACACCACACGGCGCTTCCTGATGTCGAGCGGAGTAATACTGCGATGGGATATACGTGTTCTCCGAACGGAAATACGCTAGTTTCACTCGTCTCTAGCGCGGAGCTGAAAACGACTCGCCATTTTCTCAGCGGGATTCTCACGAAGAACGCGGATATGCACTTCACCAAAAAAAATGATATACGTGTTCTCCGAACGGAAATACGCTAGTTTCACTCGTCTCTAGCGCGGAGCTGAAAACGACTCGCCATTTTCTCAGCGGGATTCTCACGAAGAACGCGGATATGCACTTCACCAAAAAAAAGGAGGATACTCCAATAATAGAAAAAATAACATCTAAGGGATACAGGCAACAACAAAAACTATCGAGAGCTACGGTAATTCGAAGAAAAAAAAATTTGCTATAAGATTCACGTTTTTTGCAAAGCTACGCGGAAAAGCGAATTGAAACCCAACCATCCTTCCAATTGTAACACGCAATAAATGTACGGCCTGGATTATAGAGATTCCATGATGCAGAGAGCAAAAACAAAGAAAATCCAACTACGGCTTCAGAAAAGATTCACGTTTTTTTTTTTTAGGCAACGCAGAAAAGGAAATTGGAACCATACTATCTTTCCGATTGTAACACGGAAAAAAGGTATGTTCTGGAATGGAAACCAAGAATGATTTTAAAAACAATACAGTACTGTAAAGTACTTCCGCAGCAGTTTTCGAAAGTAATAATCATCAAACGAAAGACACGTTCCTTCCAGTACTCCTTCAAGAAAGTCTTGAGTTTATACATTTTTCTCCACGTCGGAATTTTTCACCACCTCCCGCTAATACGCTCCTAAATTATGCTGTACTACAGAAATTGAAGTTGAAAGTTTCTACAATAACCAAGAATAACTCTTAATGACATTTTAAATGACAGCAAAATTACAGTTTCCGCATGTGTTCCAAAAAAAAAACGGGAAAAAATGCCTTTGAGTCATGCTGAAGAACAGTCGAACGGCGGAGAAATTCTGCAAAAACGAATAGAATATATACAGTACTTACGAGGAAATGTAGAAAGTTTCAACCTTGTTTCACCCGAGTAAAACAAAATTTTCAGCGTATCGCATTTCTCAGTAATTCAACCTCTAAAATGCATTGGCCTTGAGTAAGAAAGTAAATCGCATTCTTCAAGAAGAACGAGTGGAGAAATTTATGCGAACATCATGCTACATTTGATAGACTTGCTTTCGCATAAAAAATTAATTTTTCTTCCTATCCGTCGTTCCTATTTTGATACATGCATGTGTCATATTTTAAATACTGCACATCGCTAAAAAGATTTTGTTTTCTTCACACATTCCTTCTCGTGAAACTGATTTCTCGTTTGTCTTTCACACTTTAAAGTGTTCGTTTCCATTACTGTACGTCATCTTCTGTTCTTTGAGCGTTCTTATTCGATGCTCTCAATCTTAAAATATCTTGTAAAAACCCTGAACTGTTTCATAACGTCAAATTATTAGAAAATTCGCCGAGTGTTGATCGCGAAGGTGTTCACGAACTCAAAAAGATGCGATTTTTTTTATCATAAGCCATAATTATTGGGGGAAAAAAAGGTAAACAAGAAAAATCCTTACCTAATTATACAATATTTTTCGATCACCCACAAGGAATAGTTTCTTCATTTATTCATTTTTAATGACTGTAGCAGGATCACCACCAAATAGAAAATCACCTCAATGAATGGAAAGTTCCAAAACAATAAAGAGGACTAAGAAAATTATTGCGAATGAGGATTTTTTGCAAGAAATAGCGCAATCTTTTTCTTTCTTTCTCGAATTACGAGAATATCCCTTTTGTTTTGACATACTAAAATTATGTATGTTCAGCTTGAAATATGTTGATACTTTACAGTGCAGACAATTTATTAGGGATGACTTTTTAAGAATGCTTCGAACTGAAATAAGAAGCCTTCTATGAACAACCTCCAGATTTTGTGACGTCCATCAATCCTCGAATTTGACATTCTATGTTCGATAAAGTTCCCAGAGTCTCTGCATTCATTTCTACCGAAAAGCAGCTCAATTTCCAAGAACCATCACACCTTAAAATATACTTCGAGTCAATAAAAGTTATCTGAAGTTGAGCTCTCGTTTGAGTGCTTTCACGGTGAGTTCGTCAGCACCGAGACCAAACCTCGCAGAATCCGCACTTATTCGGGGAAATACACCAAACCTTGATACGCTGAGAGGGACTTGAAAATTGTTCCAAAAATAGATTGCGAAAACATTCGGGATCAATTACGCAGCGCTTATAAACGACACCGGCTTGTCTCTACAGAAGCCTGGCGGTGCGTGAGAAGAAAAACATGCTCGAGGAACGACGTCGACGTCACTTATCGACACCAGTCGGCTGGCGGTAATAACGTCGAAGATTAATCGCACTCCCAGCTTCAAGGAACCCCCTGAAGCACGTGAAAGGCAGCAAAAAAAATAGGAGACGAAGAAAAAACATGCGAAACTAAGTTTCCCGTCGGTAAACACGTAAACGATAATCAGGCAGGAAAATGTGGATTGAAGAGGAACTTCGTTGCGTCCACAGAAGAGACGAAACGGAATTTCATCTTTTTTTTTTTTACTTCCCACGCTTTTCAAAAAAATTCTCCTTTTCTCCGATGAAAATTCAATGATATATGGACGATGGAGTTCATCTGTCATCTGCATACGAAGGATCGTTCGAAAGCCATGAAGCTCAAGTACTTGACAGTATTCAGTACTGCATGCTTCGACATGGTTGCCGTATCAAAAATAATTTCCAATTTTCTCATCAATCCACGTTGAAAAAAATGGACAAGAAAGCATTTCCTAATGACCGATGCTGAAGGTGGTGCAAATCAAGCGTCAAATTCATCTCAGTAAATTGGCAGGAAAAACATAACGAATATAGTGAACAGTTCTGACGTGACCCTGGTTGATCAGGTAACGATATATTGATTATACATAATTCAAGACTTCATTCAAAAAATACATCACAGCCCATCAGAAACTGAAGATACGTTCATCCTTGCAAGAAAAATAAAAGCGAGCTCGAAGTTTTCGCGTCCCTGATTTTGAAGGGTAATGAGAGAATAATTTTAATTATTTTCATGATTCTCTGCGCATTCACTTACTCATCTCAAAACTTACATTCTGTATAATCTCTATTACTACACATTGAAATCAATAAAAAACGTTGATGCTTCGAAAAATCCTTTCAATTTTTAAAAGAAGCGAAAGAAGCCCAACTTTTCGAGAAGAACAGCGCGAGAAAATACAGCATAAAAATGATTTCCACTCAAACACAGCATTAATTTTGCGGCAATAAAATTTGAAATGTTGCAGAGCATCAAGCAACATAATGCAAAAATTTGAAACACGTTTAAATCAATGCAGAATTCTAATGCATCTTCAATTGTCTACCGTGGTGCAAGTTGTTATAGAGTGTCGTAATAACCAGCAGCAGCATCAGTAAATGCCCCTGAACCCCTGGTTCAACCCTGTGCTGAATGACCTTCACAGACCGAAAGTCAGACGTGCTTTCCTTCCTTCCTCGCAAATCACGCCACAAAGAACACAGCCTTCCTAATTCCGCAGATTCCCGAAAGAAACCCGTGCTCGAGATCTTTCCGGCTTTACCCGACGCCGGAACTTCATATAAGTCACACACTCACACACGAAGAAATAAAAAAAAAAGAAATCCCTCGGGATACTAGAACCCAAAAAAGGAAGGCACCCGTGGTTATACGCACAGGGAAAGTCAACAAACCCTGACGAGGAGCTCACGGGGTCGCTAATCCACTGAAGCTTATGCAGCTCAACTTCCCCATAAGGTACTTGAATCATTCCGGGATGAAAATTCTCGCCAGAAGGTCTTGATGGAATAAGTCGAGAAAAAAGTACTACATACATGATCCTTTTCGAACATATTAATGGATAAATTTCGAGAAAAATCAACCTGGGTATTATTAATGTTGCTTTTCAAATAATTCCAGCGTTAAATCTGTAAGGAACCACATTTTAAAGTCAGCCGTTATTTAATCAGGTTTTATACATGTTTCGATAAAGATATATGTTCTCATCATAAAAAAAGGCATTCAACGGGTTAATTGGAGTAAAGGAAATAAGAGGACTCTCGGAGAAACGGGCAGGTTGAGAAACTCGAAAACTTTCCTCTGAATGAATCAATGTTTTTGGCAGGATAAATTAAATTTCCAATTTAGCTCGAGCACTGAAAATCCAAGTTATATTTTATCGATAATATCATAATTTACTGATGCAGGGATAATGAACCTCTCTGACTTGCATTCATTATCGATGTAAATTTCGATTTTTAACCTAATGTCGCGTTACTCAATATCATTGAGCAACATAATGTAATAATGTTTACGCTAACTTACAAGAATAAAAACGTTCGGAGGTTCTCAATCTATGCTCCAAGGAAATTTCAATGGACTCCGCAGCTGCTCAAAAAGAAGGAAATGAAAAAGTAGTACAATAAATACATTTGGGGTCTGCAAAGAATGAACAAGCATTCAAGCTACGTATGGCCACCGTCAAAGAACTACATTATTTTCATCGTTGAAAAACAAAGATAGAGGATATTCCTGAGGACTTATTCAACAGAATTGTGTTCCATCAGGGCCTCATTCAAGGGATTTTTTTATTTTAAACGGGCCACATATTGGGTCAGCAAATGCTGAGAAACTCCGGTATGGCAAATGTTCAAATATTTTCAATCAAGTCAAATATGATACTATCCTGCAGATCAACAAGCTGTACGTGAATAAAAATAAGTGAATAATATATTCATTTATTTTACTTTTTTTAGAAAAGTTCGTGCCAGTCCATGAAAAAAGAAAACCCCCGACAGCGCCCTTGCAAAGGTTGGGAGAAACAGCAGTGAGCTAATGCATCTAGTGGCAGGTGTGGAATGGGTTTTCTCCTAATGGTTTGTGCCTCTAAACTCTTTCGCAAGGCTTTATATTAGTACAAAGCGACCACAAATTGGAAGAAGCTGCAGGATACAAATCCAATTTTGTACACGAAGCCATGGAGACCACACAAACCCAGAGGCAAAACTCTTCGCGCACTCTTCTTGAATTACTCACGGCTGCTCCTGATCACGGCGTGCGAGGATCACAGAAGGTAACAGAATAGATCAGCGTTCCCGAACCTTTTTGGGCCCATTCATTAATTTTTTTTTTTTTTTGCGGACTGGAACATTTCCAGAAATTTTGAAGGAACCGGCAAAGTTTCATCAATTTTTTTTTCAAACTCGAAAGAGCTTTCTTCTAAGGGTTTCACAACAGGTATTTGAAAAGTTTCTGCTTTTTTGCAAAAATTAAGTTGAGAGCTAAGGGAGCATATATGGTGAAATATCTTTTTTTTTAATTAGAAAGGTGGGCTTGAAGAAAGGTTTCTCTGAATTAAAAATTGAAGTGATTTATTTCATCAGGTGGAAATTTGTCTGAAGCATTATTAGGAGAAAAGCCAACTTTTATTTTTTTCATGAGAGAATTTCAGCCGCCATTGTTTTTCCGGAATTTCAGGTAAAGATAAGAAACTTCATTGCTACTTCTGATGAATTTGTTAAGCTGAAGAAAATTTCCAGCGGACTGGCAAAAATCTTTTGGGGGACCAGCTCAGGTCCGCGGACCAAAGGTAGATAACATGTACATAAATCATGCTAAAAAAAAAAAGGGTTTAATCGCGCTATTTGATTTTGTCATGACCCGAGTGAAATTCTGCACGCAAATTCTTTTTCCCACCCAAGACTGCGGCAATAAAATTTTCAGCAGCGGGCATAAGTCGAGACTAACCTTTTCGAAACTTCGCCTCCGCAGCCCCAGGCCGTGATTTCAAACTTGTATGATTTCTTCGTCTCGCAATTCGGCGGCTGCTTCGCTCGCATTTCTCCCTCGCCGGTCTTCTGGTCCACAACAACGACCTGCAAACACAGAAACCATGAATGAAGGAAACCAAGTCACACCTCATGCATTAAGTAGAACAATGCGCACTTTTCGCAACAAAAAAAAGAAGAAAAAAAGATTTTCCATGGTAAATTTTTCTGAGACAAATTTTGCAAGCGACTGGAAGTGCCGCTCCTCGTTCCACGATGCAAGATTTATTTGGCAGAAATTGGAATGTCCTTGAGGGCTATTTTTGGTAAACAACTAGGGGGGGGGGGGGGATTTCCTCGCGTGCATCGTAAATCGCCTAGAGAAGATATAATGGCATGGTTTGGAGCGAAAACCTCGTCGTGATTTATTCACGATATCGGCTCACCGACCCCAATAATGCTCATCATAAAACGTCACGCACGAACTCTCGTCGTTGTCACGTGACAGAGAATAAAAAAGAAAGAAAAAGCTACAAGAACCACGTTAGCTCACGACAGGGGCGTTACACCTGAAGAAGAATGTTTCTAATTCGTTTTTTTTTCAGGAATTGTAATGTCAGAAGAACATTGCCCAGGCAAAAAGCAAATGCTAGAAAAGTACCTAGAATACTAGCAACGATACCGTCATAATGAGCATAAAGGAGAAATGCATTCAGAGAAGCATTCCTACATTCCATACCAAAATAACTGAACATCCAAAAGACTTTGGATTCTCACAAATTAATATTAGGCACTTTCCCAACTCTTAAATTAGCAATAAAAAACGGTAACTTCGTATGACTTCTACTCAAAGATTCTTCCTAAATTGATCAATCAATTGAAAATTATCTGGGAACAGGCTGAACAACTTTTGCTTTACTTTGTGCTCAGTAATTGCTGCGTGCTTGGGGGGGGGAAAATAAGGCAATGCATTATTCTTATGTATTTTAATGCATTTCTTACAATTCCTATACAGGTAATTATTTTTCACAGGCATGGATACTGACAAGCGGCGGAAAACTTGTACATCAATCAATCAATTCAGAGATAAACCTCAATAAGAGAAGCAGAAATTTAAAAAAAGAAGCCCGAAAAAAAGCTCGAATACAAGAAAAACTTCGTACAATGGGAATAAAGGACCCAACAACATTCAAAGAAGAAAAAAACAAGCACAGGTGCTCTCAGGAAACTTTTTTTTTCCGTTTCAACAATTAATTAAGGAGCAGGGGTAAGCTGAAAGCATTGCCCTTTTGAAGCATGCACGAATAGGCTTTCCTACTAGAATAAAAAAATGTCATGTCACGAAAGAAGTTTTGAAATAAAAAATTCAAAAACTATAAAGCGTGAAAAACTATTAAAATGCAATTTTCTGAAAACCTCCACGTAACTTGGCTGCATAAAATTGGAAGATCTTTCAAGATTCACAAAGTGAAAGAACTTGAAGGTTCTGAATTTCTTTCAGTTTTGAAAAGATTCATTCAAGTACCACGCAATCCTTTTGAACAAGCAACATAAACTTATCAGAACAGAAACAAATATTATTGTGCAATGATGAACAATGGAGGTGTGTGAAGCGTTTCCATTTGGTTTCCCCGGTTATTTTTGTCCTGGCCATTTTTGCGCTGCGTGCTTTATGCCATTTTTTTGCCGAACATTCTACGATTCAGCAAAGACGTCATATGCTGGACGTCACAAAAAGCGAGTGGAACTGATTTCGGCAGTGAACATACGCACAAAAAAAAGGGGGGAGGGGGATAGGAAGGGCAATGGCCCATCGATCCTCATAAGGTGCATTAAATTCATCTTTTTCCCTCTTGCTTTCCGGAATGAAACGTTGTTTTGCAACCAAGAATATTAGCTATGGAGACACGGGGCCTATTTTCCGGATCAAGAAGCAACTTTTCCATCTCGCACATCGTTGCCTGTCTCGAGGGAATTTCCCCGCAGTGGCATGTGCACGAGTTATGGCTCTGGTCCTTGGGCAAAAGTGCACGAGCAGCTTTTCCTTGGGAACCCCCTGCAACCCAGGCCATCAGGGTCCTGACGAGCCTGCAGCGAAACTTCTCTTCCCCTCATTTTACCCGAACGTGGCTCCACCTTTCCATCCTAATCGTTTTTTTTTCTTTTTTGCTGGAAAAGTGGGCCTCGAGATGCGGACGTAATTGGTGTTTGGACCTTTGTCCCTACGTCGGATCACTTTTCCCCATAGACATAGAAACACATTTACTTGGTTCTAATCATCATCAATAATTAAGAATGACGTCCCCAAAGAATTGAATAAAAAATGTATCGAATCCAAGATACGGAAAATAACTGTGCAGAAAAAACACTGATCTTCTGGCATCAAAAGAAGCTCCCAGGAGCGATGGACAGGAAACAATTTAGCCACACTGTGCACACATCATGGATTTTAAAAAAAAAACTCTAGAAGATTGGCACAAAATTAGCCTGTTTTTGATGATGAAACAGATTAATTTTGTGATCAAGTTTATTTTTAATTTTTGTGAATATGATTAACTCACTTTGTGTAAGAGGCATCGCAATTTTTAAATTTTGATTACATTTTCCTTAAATATTGGAAAATTTTCCATAATATCTCAAGACGCTATGTCCGGATGTTGGACCAAATATTTTTTAAAGTTTCAATTGCCCCTAAGCCGATTCGTCCGTATATCCGGATCCACGGAAATAAAAATGAAAACTAGAACAGGAACTTGAATGGACGAGTTGTGAATTATTTTTCCTCACATAACTTACGTTTTCATTGGCCGTTTGAAGCAATTAATTATTCAAAGTTATTTGAACTCTTCCACATCTAACAGCCATCGAAGTACTCTCTCCTTCAGAGATAAAGTTGAAAAGTAAACTAGCTTGTTACAACGAAAACCATTAAAAAAACGTTTTCAGTACAACGCACTTTTCTCAACTCCCAGAAAAAGCCCACAGAGTGCGTATTCGAACATTCTCTTTCAAACAATGCATGACTAAAACCATTATTTTCAAAAGATCACTCAGTTTTTCAAAAAAGGCCAAAATATCAGAGAATGCCAGGACAGGGAGATCTATATTTGTAATAGATTATAGGAATGTCTGATGTTAAAATGTTTCCAGTCATACATTTTTAAAATCTCGTTAGAACACATCATTCAGTGTAACCAACGTCTTCAAAAGTCCCCAGGAGTATGATGTAACGAGATGTTAGTGTATTAATAAAAGCATACTGTATTTACAGAAAATCCCATCATGGTTCGTTAACCATTCACAATAACTTCAGCCAGACACTCAAGAGCCGTGCTTCTCGTGAGTCATGACTCCCTGAAGAGACCAAAATCGCACCTGGCAAATGGACGGGGGTTTCATGCGTCACCGGAAGGAAATTACGGAGAACACGAGGCAACGACGGTTCATTTCCGGTGATCATGACAAGAATTCTCCTGAGACCCGGGGGATGAGATGGTGATTAATGCTGATGGGTCCGGGGGCCACGCGGGGGTTAACGTGGTTGGAATACATTCCACACAGACCATAACCCCTTCCCATCCGCCCTCCTTTTCTTTGTGAAGCCCAGACATTCGACAGGAATCTCAAATTGCTTTTCGCCAGCAAACAAATGAAAGTATTTCTCAAACGAATGAATGAGAGGAATGCTACTGGAAACGACATTCGATTTAAAACTTTGGAATCATCACAAACCCCTAAAATGAACGTTTTGAAACCCATAAGACACCCGTCATCATGTTTGCAAATGCAAATAAAAGCTCAAATTCAGCTTCGCAGGATTTAAAAAAAATTCCACTTTCATAATCCGCATTACAATTTAGACAAAATTACGTTCGTTCGATGTCTTCGTACGACCATACTGTGGATATTTGAGTATGCTTTGAGATACGCAGAAAAGATCGCAGGGAAGAAAACGTGATACAAATTTAAATCAGCCTTTAACGATCGCATCGGAGCACCAGGGTCAAAGTAAAATACACATTTTTCTTCACGAAAGTAATTGAAGTAGAAAAAAAATCAGCAATTCACTTTCCGCGAAGACATATTTGATGGGAAGAGTTTAGTTTTCCCCAACTTCGTATCGATCAAACAGTAGATGAGTCTGGCTCGATAAGAAATCCACAGCAGGTGCCTTGGAAACAGTTACGTAGTTTGAAATGGCCCTGACCCAATTCGGGTCTGCGTGACCTTCTTGCAGAAAAAAACAAGTTACAGAAATAATTGTTATTCTCAATAAGACACGAGACAAAAGAGATCTGATCGTTTGGGGAAAAAACGGCACAAAACTGGCACAAGGTCGGAGGGATCGTCGCATTTCCTTCAAGAATTGACACAGCACGCAGATTAAAAGACGACACGAAAAACGTCGTACAAATGCTTTTTCTACGTATTCTGAGCAAACTCTGCCATTTTCAGCATAAACAATGAAAAAAGTGTTTACATCTGAATCATTTCAGTCGCACATCAGTTGGCATCCGATTACACCTGACTGTAAATCGGAGTTGAACAATCAAAGATGACGGATTACACGATAAATCTTCTGCAGACCAATACTTGAAAGCAAATTTCTAATTCCAGGTTCTTCTCACATGGAATCAGCTCGACTTTTCCGAACTTGAAATACTGTATTGATACTGATCTATTATGATAAACACTACTGAAATTCGAATAAATAAAAATCGAATGCTGTTCGGAAAATCCATAAAATATGAAAGATGTCATCCTCCACAATGTCGTCGGATTTCGAAATCGACACCTCGATAGCAACCGAACTTGAAATGCGTGAAATTCGCAAAATTTATCGCGAAAAAGTTGGAAATATTTTCATTGTCAATCCGTATCTGTGGAAAAATGTTTCTCAAAACTTGAGCCACTAAACTGATGAATTCAACGGAATTTCAAATTTTTAAAAAACAACATCGTGTAAAAAAAATGCTATGATCCAGTTTGGAAACGAAGACATCGAAAAACAATTTCGGGCATTTATAATTCTACACAAAATCCCTGAAATGCATCCTTGTACAGTACTTTTTCGTCGGGAAAAGCACAATTGGGATATTTTATACAGTTTTGTAACTTTGTACTATACAGTATTTAAGTTTCTTGTAGAATTATCTCAAACTTAGGCCGCCTTTTTGAAACGTATACTTTAAGTCAAAATTTTCTGGGCCGAACTTCAAGGAACTTGAAAAACAAATTAGTCAGGGAGGTTTCGAGTTGGGAAGACGAACATTTCTGATAATAAAAAGGAAGGCGTAATGAAGTAAATTGTAAGTGGTGATATTTTGGGCCTCAAATTGCTTTTAAAATTAGTTGACATAATTCTGAACTTTGACGCAATTGTTCATTCGCCCAATATTATTTCTTCACTTCCTTTCAAAGCGCGTCAAGTTACATTTTTTATCCATACAGTATTATCTTTCCTATGT